ATAGGCCAGGTCACCCCCAGTCATTTGCAGCTCTATCATTCTATGATGTTCTAGACCAGGGATTAAGTCTTTTTTTTTTTAAGTTTTATTTTATTTTTAATTGACAAATAAAAATTGCATATATGTATAGGGTACAATGTGTCATTTCTGTACATGTAAACATTGTGGAATGATTAAATCAGACTAATTAACATTTCCATCACCTCTGGGGTGGGCTGGGAGGAACTAAGTCTTAATACAGCTCTTAACTCCCCTCTCCCACCCAGACCTGATAAAGCCAGGTATTCGGGTTCTCCCAGTAATTGTAGAATGAACAGATTTAAAAATTAAATAAATTTGGGGGTCATTATCCACAATCTCACCCCCAACACACGTGCAGAGTACATTAAAGAAAGTTAATCATTCAAGAGCTCTTCAAACCACTTAAGGTCAATGTCTGCACCCCCATCATAAAGCTCAGATATTGCTGCTATTCAGTAGAGTTCTCCCTAATCTTTCTGCCCAGCCTTCCTCAGCTTCATTCATACCCTACTTCACTGGCTTCTCAGGATGAGGAGTGAAATCTGTATTGGAAAACGAAACAGGATTCTTTATTTTTAAAAGTGAAATTTAGATTAGAATCACATTACATTAGTAGAAACTTCTTGTCTCAGAAACCTATTGTATTGTTTAGTTACTATGCCCCCCCCCATAAGTTTGCGGGTTTGAGAGCAATTTCCTACTTTAGTTTCCCCTATCTTTATCTCACTACCTATTGCTACCTGTTATGCTACCTATTGGGCATTTTTCTCATCCTGAGAAGCTTCAGTTACTGAGTGGGGACCACAGCCCTCCAGTGCCTCTTTGGTAGTAGCCTGTTCCATGACTTGGACTTGACCAGCAGGGTCACCAGTCTGACTATCTACAATAAGGGTGTGAATTTCATTATCAGGTTCTTGAAATCACCAATTATTAGCAGGAACTATGCATACTTTCTTACTTTCTTTTTTTGATTTAAAAGTTACTTTTGAGAGAAATATACGTGTGTGTGTGTGTGTATTTTTTGCTGGCTCACACAGGACCCTGGACCTTGAGTTATCATCACCACATTCTACCCAGCTGAGCTAACTGGCCAGCCTGCAGAGAAATGTTTTATTTGGGCAGATATAATACTGTTGTATACAGGGGATTAAATACATTATAATCCTTATCTAGTGATGCATTATGTTAAGAGATCCCACCATTGAGAAATGTCATCTCAAAACAATCTAATTAAGAATTGGTAAAGGACTTGAATAGACATTTCTCCAAAGAAGATATACAAATGGCTAATAAGCTCATGAAAAGATGTTCAACTTCACCAATAATTAGGGAAATGCAAATCAAAACCACAATGAGATACCACTTCACACCCATCAGAATGGTTATTATCAAAAACAAACAAACAAAACACAGAAAATAACATGTTAGTGAGGATGTGGAGAAATCAGAACCCTTATGTGCTGTAGTGGGAATGTAAAATGGTGCAGCTTCTCTGGAAAACAGCAATGTGAAAAAACAAAAAAAATTAAACATAGCATTTCTATGTTGCAGCAGTTTCACTGCTGGGTACCCAAAAGAAGTGAGAGCAAGGACTCTAACAGGTGTTTGCACACCCAAGTTCATAGCAGCATTATTCACAATAGCCAGAAAGTGGCCCAAGTGTCCACTGAAGGATGACTGGATAAAAAAAGAGTGACATGTATATACAATGGAATATTATGTATCCTTAAAGAGGAAGGAAATTCTAACACATGCTACAACACAGATGAGCCTTGAAGACATTATATCAAGTGAATTAGGCCAGTCACAAAAGGACAAATATTGCATGATTCCACTTATACACAGTACTTAGTCAAATTCACAGAGACAGAAAGTAGAATGGTGGTTGCCAGGGGCTGGGAGGAGCGGGGAGCGGGGAGTTATTGTTTAATAGGAACAGAATTTCAGTTTTGCAAGATAAAAGGTGTTCTGTGGATACGTGGTGATGATAGTAGCACAACAATGTGAATATAATTAATATCACAGAACTATATACTTAAAAAGAGTTAAAATGGGAAATTTTATGTTACATATATTTTCACATAGTCAAAAAAAAAAAAGAATCTCCTTGAACCTTTGAGGTAGTAGCGAAGGTCAAGAATATGCTAACTTTTCCTCGTGCCACCAAGGGAAAAAACAAAAAAGACATCTGTGTACCTTCTATGTACCAGGTACTCACTTACCCACACAAAAGCAAAAACAAAACAACGCCCTTGATTCTGTACTTTCTATTAACCCTTCTTCACAATGAAGAAACTAAGGTTCATAAATTAACGTACCAGGTCAAGTAGTAAAAACCAGTGATAGGATTCAAAGGCAGATCTGCCTGACTTTGAGGCCTGTGTTCTTTTCACGCTATGGTGTTCTTTTATTCCATCCACAGTAGGCTTTTGTTGACGGGCTTTCTGCTTTGACTATACAGCGTGTAGACTTAAAAGTTGGGCCAGCCTTCTGAAGTAGGCTAAAAAAGTCAGTCGACCAAATACATTCACTACACGCCCACCATATGAGGCTCAGGGCTGGCCATGAAATAATGGAGTCATGTTTCCATTCAGCCACTGGCCGTATGGCAGAAAAAAACCCCCACACAATTAAAATTTCAGTGTTGGTCGACTCCCTGAAAGGCCACTGAAAATCCTGTGCAAAAGTACTATGTCTTTCAATATTCCATATGGCCAGAATAAGTGGAAATAGTCTCACTTTCAGTGTAAGAGTGTATTCATCTTTTTCCTAAACACTTTACCATCATAGTTACTGATCTGCTGTTACTCGCGTTCTGCTTCAAGCTGGAATTTAACAATTAAGGAGATGTTTTGTGCTGTGCAGAAAATAGTCACCTCTTAGCTGTTTTCAGAATGATACCCGGGGGGCCCTCTTGACTCTACCATGCCTATTGGTCAAGGTTTCATCTTTTTACTTTTGTGTGAAACACACGCACAGAATAGTAATGCAGATTGTCTGCACATCCCCAAACAAAGCAGGGAGTTGGCATTATCTTGTGAATACAGGCTGGAGATGAGTAAGTACCAAAGGGTAAGGAACCCCTTTTCTCATTCATGCAGCCCAGATTCCCAACTCTCTACTTCATTTAATGACAAGCAGCCTGATAATAGAAGCTGTTAGGGCGTTCTGGATCCAAGATCTACCCTCTGTCTCCTCTCTGGGAAGATTATCTTTACATATTTTACTTAGGATGCAAATAGGAAGTGGAACTGTGGACTCTGTGGCATGACTTGTGTTGCTTGCAGGTTTGATTAAATTCAATGAATCCTTCAGGGGAGCTCCGTGATTTCAACATCAGCAATACTTCATCTCTCAGACATGGTGCAGGTTTATTTAAATGAGAACTAACCTCAGAAAAATAGACATTTTACCTACAAAAGGTTCCTAGCTCTGAAATAGGCGTTATGCTTATAAAAGCTTCCTAGTTCTGAAAATGTGCTGCTACTCCACAAATTTTGAGAAGCCAAATCAATGTATTAAACATGGCATTAAAACACACACACACACACACACACACACACACACACACACACAAACCTATAGCTCTTCACAACTAAAAATGGTGATAAAGAAGGAGGCGGCCAAATCAATGTATTAAACATGGCATTAAAACACACACACACACACACACACACACACACAAACCTATAGCTCTTCACAACTAAAAATGGTGATAAAGGAGGAGGCATATACACACACCCTTAATTGGCATATCTGGTGTTTAAAAACCTGTATTTTAAGAATTTATGACTGTCAAATATGACATTTTTATTATTTACTCCACTATCAGCAATTCTTTCTCTCTTTCTTTTGAAAATCATTCCCTTTCGTCATAAAACCCAAGCAAAAACCTTTTATCAATGACCATTTATTGCTTAACTACACTTTCTGTTGAGGATACGTAGTTTAATTTTTTAAATCATGCTACACTAGATTATTAAACTCTTTCTCCTACATATCCTGCCAAAGGAATCTCACAATCTCAATTCTAATCCGTTAGATCTACTTTCTGCACTTTTACATATCATTCATAAACATGAACAAGTCACAGTCTCAGACTCTCATTAAGAGCATCCATTGCTCAAAAAAAGTCAAAGAATAAAAATCATATTCTGATATTACTACCTCAAGTCTAAATATGGTATATACCGGTAAAGAAACAACCCAGCTGCACTTTTATATTTTGTCCCTCACTGAGGTTAAACATCCACCTTGACCTAGAGATAAATAAAATCTATATAAATGTAACATCCACATATACACCAGTATCTGATTCTGGACAAGTTACCATCCCTAAACCCGCCATGCTCCTTTGAATAAGGATGTAACTTTAGGACTGGAAAATGGTAGCTGTTTCTGAGGTTATTCTGAAAGCAGCTGCACAGAGCTGAGGGAGGAAGACACCGTTTTTTTAATGGTAAATACTGCCCCTCACATACGCAATTCGAGCCTTTGTTGGCAAAATCTGAGTACAAAAGAATTAGCCCCCGTCCCCAAAGCCAAATCACAGCCATTATAAGACAGAAGACACCCCAGTGCAATACGTAAGAAAGAGAATGCAATTAACATTTTACACCACTTACACCCTCTCAACAAGGGGACTGCAATGCTCAGATGATCAGACCACGGCTTCCAGCCCCTGTTGATTTCAACTCAGCTCTGCTTTTCTTCTGAGAGAACTATGCAAACAGCTTCTTACCTTTAGCGGGTTTTCCTGGCAAGTCACCAAAGCTAAGCCCTAATGATGATTTTTTTTTAAGCAAATGTGTCACAAATTTGGTCACTCTCAAAAGCCCTTCTAAAAGAACCTATGCTAATCATTTCCCTCAATCCTCAAGCAATGTCCTTATCTTCCCTTAGAAATCTACCCTTGAAACCACAGGCGATGGTCATTTTTCTCAATTAAAACGGAGCAACATGCAAAACGTTTCCTTTACCTTGGCTCCTGAGGCTTGGTCAGAGGAGAGTGGCTTTTCCCCTCTCTCCCGAGCTGGTCTGTGCAGATGAGCCGGCGCAGCCCGCCCAGCCCAGCCCAGCCCAGCAGTAGTAGGAGTCGCCCACGGAGCGGCGGCGGCGGCGGCGTTGTGTGTGTGTGTAGCAGCGGCGGCTGCAGCCTGGGGACTAGTCCCCACCCAGCTTTGTCTTCAGTCATCGTTCTCTCTACAGGAAGCAGCGCATCTCCCACTTCCTCCTCTCCTTTGTAGCTGTGAGCTGTTTTCTTCTTTTCCCTCTCATTCCATCTCAGTGCTTACTCTAGTGGTTTGTCTGCTCCTGGGAGGCTGACAGTAATTTGACTGTAATCTCCTTTACCCCTTTGTTCCAAGTCCCTCTGGTGCTGTCTCTTCCTTCCTTCCCCTTCTCATTTTCCCACCTTCACCTCCACAGCAGCTTCCACGGGCTGCCTCCGTTGCCCCTTCCTGGGGCACAGCCTGCTTTATTAGCCTGAACTTGACTTATTGTTGTTCTTGCTGTGGCTGCTGGTTTGGGGGGTTGAGGGGGGAGGTCAGTATAGCTCCTGGCCAGGTTCTGGCCATGAGATCTCTCACCAGCCTAAACTGTTCCTCCTGATTTTCTATGGTCCCTATCGAGTCAGCTGGGAGCTTGCAGCCTGCAGCTTCTTGCTGCAGCATTTTTCTCTGAGGCCAACATTCTAGATGCTTCATTTCTCCAGGGTCCCACTACCACTGAGATCTTACTTAACCCACATGCTCAGAAAAGAATGGCCCTGATAAGTATTCTTGTGGGGCCTAGGAGCTAACCCAAGTCCTGCAATGCTACCGATAGGCCTAATAGTGAAGATGTATGCCTAAATGATTCTTATAGATGGGAAGGAATAAAGTGGGGCTGAACACTGTATATACCCAACCCAGAAACAGAACTCTCCCTCCCCACCCCCAACTCATTGATAGGGCTGAAAGGACCCTCAGGATCCTCCAGTCCCTTTACTTCACTGTAGGAGGTGGTGTAGTGTCACAATAGGGATAGAGCCTACAGGCAGTCTGTTCGCCAGAGTTTGAATCCAAGCTATCATTACTGACTGTATGAATTTGGGCAAATTATTTAACTTCTGCCTGCCTCAATTTCCTCATCTGCAAAATGGAGATGATTATAGTTATACCCTACAGTGGAAACCTGAGGATTAAATGAGATGGTACGCAAAATGCTAATGATAGTTCTGGGAACATAGGAAGTATTCAACACATATTAGCTCTTATTACTTTTAGAGGACATTGGAGGGCAGAGATGACAAGTGACCCGTACTTGGTTTTCTTATTTTTCACTGTTAGCATATTCACAAATAAGCCCTGATGCTCTTGATAACAATTTATTCTGTGTGTGAGTCATTCTTTCCCCAGTACTAACACAAAGCACTTTGGGGAAGCTACAGTTTAAACATGGGATGGGGCAGGGGAATCCTTGTTCTGGTGTTCAGCCATCAATGTTGAGTAAAAAAACCTCTCCCCAGGAATCAGTGCCTGGAAAGCTAATCTTCCTGGGCAACAGAGTTAATTCTTCAACTCCTCCTTTTTAATCCAGTCTTGCCTTAATCCTCCAGCATGTAAACTAACAGGAAATGTTAGAAATCTAGGGCTGATGTAGGATAACTCACCAGGTGAGCATACCTAACACACCTTGGGGAACACAGCACACTAATATGGAAGGTACAGAACTTAATTTCTATGAAATGTTCTGAGACAGAACTCTTTGTTTTGATTTGATGTTCCACAAACAGAGCTTGCTAATTTTTTTCCTGGAAATCTTTCATCAAAAAGGACCCTGATGCCAACTCACTAACACCTGAAAATTACAAAATGAATTGTTTTAAGATTAAAAATGAGAAACTACCTCTGAGCTACCAGCAAATAAAATTGTCCTAGTGGGAGAGGATTGGGCATAGATCCAACTTAACTTGAGTTACCTCCAGATCAGGAATCCTAGTGCCAAAGGTTACCAGGAGCTTTTAAATGTAAATTTCAATATACATGATGCCAATTCTAAGAAAAATGAGAAGCATGTTATTAATGGTTGGAAAGATTATGGAAACAAGTATTTGATTAATTTTAGACCAGTGAATTCTGGCATTAACTCTGGATTCAAATAAACCTTTTTTTTTTTAATCTCTCTTTTTCTTATATTCACCCACACATACACATATAAATGCATACACACAAACTCTCTCTCTCTTTCTTAACCATCAGAGAGTGGTTGGTACTTATATTTAAGCCTATATAGGAAAACCTCTTTCAAACAGTAAGTTACTGGGAATTTAGCCTGTTGCCTTCTGATCAGTTCTATCATCTCTGGCCCTTATAAAACTCACAGTAGGTTAATCTGGCCATCACTGGGAAGTGCCAACAAAACTCTCTTCGGAGCTAAAAACTGGATTTTAAGATCATTCTCTTCCTGTCATTAACCTCATTGCTTTCAATTGGTCCTAATAGTCTCTTTTTTGGGAGAGAAAAGTGAAGTGTGAGGGTGTACATTGGCCAGGAGAGAAAATTAATCCAGTTTAGAGCTCTTAACACAAGCATGGTAAGTATTCACACGAAGACTGCAATGTGTTTATTTCTTAGAAGAAATCATATAATTACATCTCACCCTTAACAGTTCGTGCCATCAATTACCATGAGACTATCCTAGATACGTTTTACAATGCGTAAAACAAAAGCCCGTAAAATACTCTTAACGTTCATCAACGGCCCCATTTGCAGGCATTAATATCTCGTATTTCTTCCATTTGCTGGTAGAGGAGATTGATGGTAATAAAGAGGACATGATTTTGGCTTGATGTCTCTCTTGCATTATTGAGCATTCTAGCTGGATGTTCCTTCGTAAAATACTCTTAACGTTCATCAACGGCCCCATTTGCAGGCATTAATATCTCGTATTTCTTACATTTGCTGGTAGAGGAGATTGATGGTAATAAAGAGGACATGATTTTGGCTTGATGTCTCTCTTGCATTATTGAGCATTCTAGCTGGATGTTCCTTCGAGTTCTTACACTCAGTATTCCCCAAATTATGTACATCACCTTCATCCAGAGCCTGTTTCTCTTTCTATATTCTCTATTTTATTTAATGAGGAATAATGTAAGAATAATCCCAGAACCTTATCTTTGTCATCCCAATCTGATTTAAAGCTGCTCATCCTTTCATTCCTGCCACAAAACTATCTCTTTGCCCAGACCCCTCCTCCCATTCCCCTTGCCACTGTCTTATTTCATAAATGCTTTGGTTTTTCCTGTATCACTACAATACTCCCTACTTTGTCTTTCTGCCTCCAGTCTCTCTTCCAAGCCAACCCACAAGAAGTACATTGCTGAAATGAAGAGTTGATCATATCGCTGTTATAATTATGCACTATCTCCCCTCCCTGGTGCTTACAGGATGCGAGCCCTAATTCCTGTGCATGGCATACTGCCTCCACAGGCTGCCTCCGTGGAGGCAGCCTTCACAATGTCACTGCCTACACTCTGACCTTGCCTCCTGTTATAACCCCACATCCCCCTGCACAGCAGGCTCCTGATGGGGCCATGCTCTTTTCTTCCCTGCATCTTGACAAATGCTATTCCTGTTGCCAGAGTACCCTCATCCCTTCCTCCTTTTGTCTGCTGCATTGTTTTAATGATTTGCTAGATGTTCATGTCACCCATTAGTGTTTGGGCCCCTTACGGTTAGGGCCACCATATTCTATTCATCTTTGCTTGTCACATAGCAGGTAGTTAACAGATGTCTGTATAATGAAAAGACATCACTGGCAGAAATTCCAAAATTGCTTTTGTGTTCCTTTGAATGCCTAGGAAGGGGAGAAAAAGGAAATCTCTAAAATGAGAAGTTGATCATGGGATAAGAAACAATAACTCCTCTATTTTTTGCAAATTGCAGAAAACCATGGTACATGCATACCACATTCTGCATATTTGTTATACAGACAACCTTAAAGAATTCTGGGACAACTCCTGGTTCCATTTCCACACTGAATAACTTATAAAGAAACACAGTCTGGCAACAAAAAAATAATTTAAAAAAAATTTTTTTAAAGAAATGGGAAATAGGAAAGAAAGCTATCCTGTACTTTTATCTCTGGAGGAACTGTAAAGAGACCAATTTGTAAGCCAGAAACACTTCTCAGAACCCCTTCCGCACTCTCTAATCTTTGCCACTTCATGCGGTCCCCAGAGCATCTCATATGCCAAATCTCCAAACTCTTTCTCTAAATGTGTTTACAATACTGTTTGCCTCTTTCTCTCTCCTCCCTGCCATGCCCAGCTAGTTCTTTTCTATTTCGACTGACTTGCCTTCTCTGGCTGAGCCCACCCTGCCTTTCCGTCCATGTCTCAGTTTTGGTCTCTCTCTCTTTTCTGATTCTCCTATATCAGAAAGGAGCCATCAAGTGTACCAGCAAAGCCCCTCCTTGAGTGCATGTGTGGGCTGCAGTGAGATGGAAGGAGGGCAAAATGGGACGAAGAAGGTGATTTCATACAGTAGTAAATCTTGTCCACTCTTGTACCTTCAGGATACGTGTAATGACTTGCTTCGTTTTGAGGCTGCGTGTAGCCATCAAGAATAAATGAGTGAATTGTTGAGTTATTATTTTATCACAGAAAAACCAGAATTTTAGGTATTTTTTAAGAGATTATTTAAAGGGAATGGAAGCCTCTTTAAAGAGTTCTTCAGAAAAGCATAATCTTGATCTGATTTGTGTGTCACAGGATCATTCCCTCCCCCCAGATATCTGAGCCTAACCCCAGCTGTTGGGGCCAGGAAGACTGAATCATATTAGGTTTAAGGAGAGTCAGGAGGTGGGGTAGCTGAACTAATCTTTCCTGGGAGAGAGTGGCTGACCTTCACTAAGGAAAAATGCCAGTCTGTCTCATGGCCCAGCCCAAAAGCTGGTAGGACAAGACTTATGAAGAGTCATGGGCAACTCTTCCCTCAGAGAGCAAAGCAGTAGAACCACTAGTTCTACCTTCCCTTTGCCCTGGGCATGTCTAACTAGGGGACTAAATAGAATAGTGTGAAGCCCCCACCTCCAGTTCTTCTCTGATATTGCCTGAAATGTCACACGTATATGTGTATGTGTGTGTCTTGCACACGTACAGCCCTCGGGAGGTTCTCAGCGACAAATGAGTTCAAGAAGCTTG